TTTTATCAGAAACACTAGCATTTTACAAGTAGAGAATCAAAAGTATCCAACTATATTTCACGTCCAAACTACTTGGATATGATTTTGAGAAAGACTATATCTCAGACAGTTACGATATACAACTCTCACCCCAGGGCTCTTACGATCTGCGTAAGCAAACATGCACATTTACGATAAAAGGCTGTAAAACACAACTAAGTGAGCACTTCTTTAGTCTTGTATTCTAAGATGTGGAGCAGCTTACTCCTAGAAATGACAACCTGCAACTTGGTTATATGCTTCAGAGGCTCTCTACACAAACTGTCTCTTCCTACTAATTACATAAACAAACTGTCTTCAGAACGAATCAGTTAAATCCCCATGGTATCTTAAGAATGCGTAAAACTTCACTAATTACTCTGCATAAACGATGCACATATTGGTCGCATAGACATACAAAAATACTGAGAGAATATCAATATATATATATATATATATATATATATATGTTTACTAGACGGCAATGTACAACGAATGTAGCGATGTTTATGCATAGACATTCAGGTTCTATTTGTGTCGACATACTTACTTTTCTGGTACTTTGATGCATGCCTCATCTATTGTGTTTGCCCTGTAGTGGGAGTTGCACAGACCTGCACAGTAGGAAGGACTGAAATCAAACAGGACTTGAAGTTACTTCCTTCTGGATACCATATCATCCTTCAAGCTGCTGGCTAATAATAATTATGTTGAGCTAACTCGACATGCTTAAAACCTCCCGTGGTGTCGGCAGGAGTGAAGAAGACTCCAAAGTTAAACGACCCTGAACCAACCAATCAGATAGCTCAGCATTACAAATAGATGCCTTTCATAATCTTCGCTGCAAGTTTCATCCTGATTTGGGGTTCAGGTTGAGGTAAGTTTAAGGTAGGGTTATGGTTAAAGTTAGAGTGAAACTTGCGACGAAGATTACGAAAGGCATCCATTTGTAATGCAGAGCGATCTAATTGGTTGGCTCAAGGTCGTTTGACTTTAGTGTATATTCTTTACTGTTACCAGTCTGTAGAATTAAGCATCATAGGGCTTAACACATGACTTAAGAAACTGAATTCACTCCAAGTGATTTATTTTAGACAAGCTTTTTAAACTACTGATGTGGCTATTAGTTTCAGAGATGAATCAATATTTCATCGGTTCATTTTGTAATTCTGAATACAATTTTTACACAGACTCTACTTTATGGCAAATGTACAGGGTTTCTTGACAAAATAGCATATGAGTAAGAGGAGGTTTAAAATAATTAAAAAAATCATGCAAGAATTATTACTTTTCATTTGAGAGACTGCTGCATCACACATTCTGCTGATCGATATGGTGCGTCGATGACTACTTACACTACAGTGGCTGGCATGACGAATACTATTTCCGTGAAAATTAGTTTAAACTATGTAGGAATGTACTCAATGATAATTTGTTCCCGAAAAGTTGAATTATTTATACTATTTGGCCAGCTGATCGCTGTGTACCGTACTGTTGTAATTATTCCCTTAACAATTCTTATTCTTTTTTACTTCACTATTTTGAGAATCTGATTTGATTCACTACATAGAGATTAAGTGTAAAAGAACTGATTAGTTTCAAATTATTTTCAGCGTTATGTCGCCAAAACTTTTTGATTGATAAACAATTCTCAATAATGAAATATACTTTATTCGACTACCTCTTGCTTTTCAATCGCCTGTAATCTAAGAATTAAAACGATGTCTTTTCGCATTCAGATTTTTATAGTGTGAACTACTCAGTTAGAGGCTAGTTAACAATAGATTCAGAATTCCGAATCTTAAAGTGAGGATTTGTATACATACTCTGAGACTATGAGCATTCATTTGGAATTTTAAATGTTGTGTGAATTTAGTTTGTATCAGAAAATCCATATAGGGAAAATAGCTATGGAATAACAAAGTGACGTTAATTAAAAACAGCATGAATAAATGTGTGCGTCGTTGGCGTAGAGGTAGAATGCTCGCCAACCACTTATGTGGTCCAGGTTTCGATCCTCGGCCGAAGCACTACTATACATGAAGAGGGAAGGTTAGGTTAGAGACTAGCAATCCTACCACGTAAAACTAAGCACCACTGCTACCAAAACTACCAGACTCCAGCGTGAAGCCCTATGTTCCACTCAGAAAGCGAAGGAATGAAAAAAAATGAATAAATGAATATAAGCACAATTAACAGCCAGTGAAATACCTAATGTGATTAGTACACCATTCTTGCTATATTTACTAGCGGTCAATATCTAGAGGAGAGTAACTTTAATTGCATAACCCCGCTAATTGTAGCGTCGTGGTTCAATACTACGATCGTTGAATGATAATTTATATTTTTATGTGCTTTTTAAATGAAATTTTGCATTTAAAAATTCCAATTTTCTGGTGCACATATTATCGATGGCATTATATGCTTGAACAGCGTTACATTTCCTGCACTTTTATCAGATAATGTTGCTTCATACCGATATCAGCGCAATGCAGTGCAAAAAATGGAGGCAGTAATTTCAAAAGTTAAACGCATATTATCGAATTTTCATGAAACCGTGTCGGTATGTGGCGTGTGCTACTGTTACGTCCCTAACTAGATCGAGACACTGAGTCCTTATTTAAGGAAGAAATAGCGAAACGAGTTTCTGAAGTCCACAGCAGGACTTCCCCCGAGGTAGCCTGGCACAACATACAGTTAGCTGTGGACACAGCTGTGAAAGCTGTTAATAAGCTAAAACCTAAAGTTAATAAAAGCCATTGGATCTCTACCGCCTCATCCGAACTGATTGACGCAAGAAGACTGATTCCAGCGAGCTCCGATTATGATGAGGAGCGAAAGGTACTTAAACGAAGACTAACAAAAAGTCTTCGCAAGGACCGTGAACAGTGGTGGGCGACGAAAGCGAAAGAGATGGAAAAGGCATCGGTGATTGGCAACACCAGACAACTATTCAGGCTTATCAGGGAAACAGGTGGCAAAAGGCAAATGATAAGCGAAACAATCTCTGAGAAAAATGGCACCATAATTAGCTCCCAGGATAGACGACTGGAGCGCTGGAAAGAACACTATGAGGAGCAGTTTAATTGGCCTACAGCCACACTTAACCTGCCGAACATCCAACACCTCCCTGAATGGGATATAGACACAAGTCCTCCGTACTTAACTGAGGTTACTAAAGCTGTCACTAATCTTAAGCAAGGCGAAGCAGCGGGACCTGATGGAATGAATCCAGAGGTATTTAAGTACGGTGGAGACAGTTTACTGTCTGCACTAACTGAGGTTCTAGGCAGCGTCTGGGAATCAGAGGAAGTCCCATCGGGTTGGTGTAAGTCACTGATCATTCCGATATACAAGAAGGGAGACAAGTCTTCGTGTGATAATCACAGAGGGATTAGCTTGACTAATATAGTATCTAAAATCCTAGGCCCAATAATACTGCGTAGACTAAGTGGTGCTCGGGAGGCACAAACACGAGAAAACCAGGCAGGTTTTAGGCCAGGAAGAGGGTGTATTGATCATATCTTCACCCTCCGACAGATTCTAGAACATAGGCATTCTTACCGGCGTCAAACAATCATTATATTTCTTGACCTAAAGGTGGCATTCGATTCTGTCGACCGAGAGGTTCTCTGGCGATGCTTGGCTGTAAAGGGAATGCCGAGAAAATACATTGCACTGATTAAGGCACTCCACTCGTACTCATGCAGCCAGGTGAGGGCTTACGGCGAGTTGTCATCTGAAGTGTTGACGACTAGTGGCGTCCGTCAAGGATGCCCATTATCCCCATTCCTATTCAACTTCATCATAGATGTACTAGTGGACTTAACCCTAACTCACTTCAGCGACTCACGGGTTGATTGACTTGCTACCAGGGAATAATCTCGTTGACTTAGAATATGCAGACGATAAAGTCCTTCTAGGCGAGGACGCTGACAAAATGCAGAGTCTTCTGAACACCTTGAGCTGAAATCTTCGTATGTTTGGCATGCGATTCGCTCCCGCCAAATGCAAGATGATGTTACAGGATTGGACTACACCGACCCCTAGATTAGAAATAGGAAGTGAAGTGGTAGAGCACGTTTACCGCTTCACTTACTTGGGAAGTACCATCAGCCCCAACGGGTTGATCTCTGACGAAATCTCAGTACGAATTCAGAGGGCTAGTTTCGCATATGCCAGTTTACGCCGTCTCTGGCGTAGACGTGATATCCGACTATCCACCAAAGGGCGTGTGTACTGCTCATCATATCCATAATAATCTGTGTTTTACAAAAACCACTCTAGCAAACAAAAACTCTTCACAAAGATCACTATGAAAATAGTCCCAGTGAACTGGTCATCGTTGTTAATTATCACAAATGAGTGCACAGCTTAGTGTCATTTGGTTCGACCATTTATTCTTTATGTAAGTCATAGTGTGGTGAGAGCTGTCTATTAGCCAAATCGGTAGACAGTAATTTACGTCAATGTTTACGTTCTCAAGATTCGTCGTGAGAAAATATGAACAAAGACTGATTCAAAACCGACCACAACCAACTTTGCGTAGGCGGATACAGTTAACATATAGATGATCTGACATTCAAGAAACAGTCACAAAGAGATGAAAGATTAACTTTAAGTGAGAAACAACCAATCAGAAGACTGTGTTTGTTTGCTTAACTAATCTATAATAATGTACATGAAAATATATAAATATGTGTTGATTTCCTTAATAAACGATCTGTTGCCTGGCCCTTGTCTTCTCTTGTTACAATAGTATTCACCTGACTTGACATTAAATAATCACTTTTGCAACTCAACAAAACTAATACTTCTTCCTACAAACACATTAGTTGTTATGTATCAAAAAGTAATTTATAAACAATCAATTAACACGCATAAGATCGTGACAAATAAAGAATATACGTATAAACAAATATTTACGTAGTAATAATAGCTTTATTATGCGTACGTATGTATTGTGTAGCAAAATGACTTACCAACTGGATAGTTTGAGATTCGAGCATGGCTCTAAGAAAAGACTCTAGACCAGGACAAGATTGACAGGCAACAAGAGCATCTAAGTCCACGCCTGGATCAGAATCTTCTTCAACTAAACACTCAGTATAACAACCTGTAAAATAATATAGAACAAGCAGTTAATTACTTAGTTGTACACCTAACAATATACTACCAGCTAAGATATCAGGTGAGTTTTGAGAGTGTATCGACCAGGAATCGAACCTGAATCCCTTCTGTATTTGAAGAACATTCTATCATTAAACAACCAATGCAGCAATAAAGCATTTTAGCGCCTATAAGAATCGAAACTAACATCCGACTCTTGCATTCACCCATCTACAAGTATGCGAGTGAAATATTTCTGCTCGTCAAACGTCTAATTAGTAATCACAGAAATATCAATATGTAATCAGAAAGTTTGATTTGATATTCTTTAACCTTAGCAGCTAGTAACACAGAATGGCAATGGTGAGATCCAGACGAAAACCGTATTGATTAAATATGAAAGAGTTAAGTGTACCTATATCAAAAAACAAAAAATTATCATTAGAAGTAAACTATTGAAACATTATCATAATTTATTCGTAACTCTATAGTTAAAGTTAGTCTTTCCGCATACTCTGACTCCACCCCACCAACTTCCATAAGACTGTCGAATCAGGAAATGCTAAAAATAGGAATAAACGAAAATGAACGAAATATTCCCATATTGAGTGATAGGAAACACAAGTAAACACCTAAGAGAATTTTCTATTCGACGACTCATTTTCACAAGCTGCTGTACAATCGTAATTATATTTAACAAAGAATTCATAAGACAACCAATCAGATAGTGGTAAAACTTGACCTCGAAAACATATTACGTAATGTGGGATGTAGTCTAGAAGCGGTGACTAGTTGGAAATTAGAAAAGGGGCAGAAGTTGTCATGGCGTAATAAGTGTGAGAAAATGAGTAATCAATACAGTTGTATAGAATGGCCAAGAACTAGTGGAAAGACAATGAAGTGTTTTTATAGAATCTGTATGAAAAAGCAATGTTATTAATAAACAGTAATAGAGTGACAATAAAATATGGATGATGAGGATAATAATGATAATAAAATCATAATATCAATCATAATAGTACACTTACATAATAAAAGGAATCAAAATTATAGTGAGGACGTTACTCTGGCCACGATAAGGCGAGGGGATGTATGTGGTGCTATTGAATGCAGACGTCCGGTTTCAGATCCTGAATAGCCAATGATTCAGCTATGTACTGACGGCGTATTCCAAGTCCTTTCGTATGATATTGAGGGACTCTGTGTAACACTGTGAAGCATTCATGCGAGGATGCTCGTTGTCCAGAGTTGACAAGGTGTTCGAGGATGGAGCTGCTAGTATTCTTGTTTTCTCCTCTGGCTAGCTACCCAAATTTGACAGTCTTCCAGAATACGTTTGCGAACTTGACGTTGCACACGGCCGATATACTTTGCTCCAAACGAACAAGTAAGTAAACTGATAAATACACACTGACGTGGCCAAAAGCGGTATCTTATCCTTAACGTTAGACTGGATTAATTGTCTGCTGGAGAATGTTATGCGTAAGGCGGCTGCTTGAAATGTCTTCTCCAGACATTTAGAAAGGCGGTTTCTAAGAATTTCTGCTTCCATATCACCTTCGAATTCCAGGTTCATGAAGAGATCTTTCTTAGGAACAGTTGTAATGTTTGAGGAAGTAGGCTTTTCCTTCATGTTTTTGTCGATAAATCTTGGTGGATACCCGTTCACTAGTAGGGTCTCATGTAATGAATTTAACTCATCCACTATCATGTCTTCTGAACAAATTTTTCTCATCCTTGAACATAATGTACGTACTAGGTTTTGCTTTCGGACCAGTGGGAGGAAGCTCTGGAAGTTGATGGACTTTCTGTCCACGTTGGCTTGCGATATTTTGATCTTTGGATCGTGCAGTCTTGTCTTCTGGCAAGTAGTACATCGAGTAATGGAAATGCCATGTTCGATTCATGTTCTGAGGTGAATTTTATTGATGGGTGTGCCGCGTTGAAGGTTTTGAGGAGATACTCTAAGTCAACTTTTTTCATCACACATTTTGAACGTATCACCTACGTATCTCCTGTATAAGTGCAGTTGACTGATCAAAGGATGGGGGATGTCGTTTTCGAAACTCACCATGCAGCAGTCAGCTAGGAGTGGACCGAGAAGAGACCCCATAGCTACGCCATCTTTCTGTACATGGAATTTGAGTTGGATATTAAACGTACAAGTGAGAAATAGTTCCTTCAGGTAGTTGATGGGAAGAGAAATTTTTAGCTTTTTGGTTTCGATGTAGTTACAGATGAAGCATATTGTCCTCTTTATTAAATATAACAACGATTGTACAGCAGCTTATGAAAATGAATCGTTGAAAAGAAAATTTTATTCGCTTTTTACGTCTTTTTCACATACGAAAATATGTATTGTGAAAGGAAGCGCTTGGTCAAATTTTTGAAATTAGGAAAGAAAAAAGTATTTAACACAAAGATTAGTCCACGAAAATGGAGGATCAACTGTTGAATACAAATTTACAAACAACATGGAATGGTCAGGTCAGATGAAGTCACAAGACTTTCAGGATCGTTTGCTATACGCTTTACAGGTAAATTCACCTCCATATATATACATATGTAAGAATAGCTTTAGCTGTATCATCACGTGTATGTGTGGAACAGCATAAACCATAGACAAAAATTCTTTACGACAAGGTAACAGGTAATAAGTCAATAATAAAAGTTTTAAAAAATAAATCCAATTTTCAATATAAGAAGAATAGAGTGCAAAAAGAAAAGAAAAAATCAATGCAAGCATTTGACACAAGGCTGTGTGTGTATTGCTTTAATTTAAGGAATTGGTTAAACATATTTATTGATTGTATTCATTATACTCAAAACTGTGAGATAAATATTTGAATGTCAGCATGAACTTTGTAATATATATATATATATATATATATATATGAAGCATATTTAACGAATAAAACTCACCTAAAAGATTCACAATTAATTCAAAAAATGGATGAGTCAACTTTTCAAAACAGTCCAATATTTCTCCATCGACTTGTTTTTTTGAGTTCATTGATACATTCAATTGTCGTTGAACTTCCTTTAATTGATGATGCAAAAAGCTAAACTGTAATACAAGATGAAAGAAAGTTAAACAAATGAAATGCATGCTGAGAAATAGTAAATTTGAAATTCATAACAACATTCATTAATGAACAGACATCCAGACCATATTGACATTATATATATATATATATATATATATATATGGTTTGCAAGGATTCGACTGGTTTTCAGACTTCATCATGAACTGAGTGTCGGTTAGAGGACCATTGGATAATGTGCAGGAAGTACTGCACAGTTGTTTCGTTCTAGTTTGGGACTCTTCATCAGTACGGGTCCACTGAGGTTCGAAACCAGGACCTTCTGGTTACAGGACTAGTGATCTTGTAGACCATTAAGCCACTGGGACCCGATCCTATGGCCAACCCATGAATTCTAACTTCTACCATTTCATGATATCAGGGTTCATAATCTTTACATGAGATATTTCCCTACAGTTGTTTCACAGTTTTGAAATGCTGGAAAATTAAAATATTTTTCTGTTTCAGGTGGTTGTTAGAGAACTGGTTAACTCAATATCCACCAACTTAGCTTTAAGACCAACCTTAATCTTTAGTTGACGTTTGGACAAGAGGTTTAATTTAGTTGTACACGTTTTCAAACTCAGCATTGATAACTGAATCATTAAAATGTATAAGAGGAACACAAAATTACGGTACAAGAGAGAGAGCTACTTTCTCCTAAATGGATAGTGTAATATCAGATGATATTGACTTTCCTCCATGCTTGTTCTCTTTCTCAGGAAAATGGTCGAAGATCTGCTGTACATGTCACAGCTACTAACAAAAATATTACTGTAATATTACTGTAATGTCACATAGACTTATCAAATAAAAATTTACCCATAATGGAATTACACTCTACCACAGTGCCCAAGTTTTATTCTCATATCAGCTACTAACAAAGTCTTATAACTGATCAGATCTTTAAAATCTACCATTTGAACAACTTTATCCTGTTCTGCTTAGCTTTAATACCTTACTTCATAATCCTGCTATTGACAACTATTCAACTTTCTTTTTACAGTAATTACAACACTTTGAATTGTGAATGCATTTTAATCGAACTGCAATATTCATCTGTTATTGTTATAGAAAGTGATTCAATGAATGCTCACTGGCGACTGGCCCTATTCAGGTAGGTAGTTAGCTGGGGTTCTAGTGAGAAGTCGTGACCAGTAGGGTGCAGCAGGTCGGCTGTGAGGATAAATACTCGCCGAAGACATTGGTTAGTGGTCGCGCTATGTCTTGAATTGGCAGAAATTAGAATTCATGGGCCATTGGATCATGTCCCAGTGGCTTAATGATCTACGAGCTCGCCTTGTACCCAGAAGGTCCTGGGTGGGTGAGTACTGATGAAGAGTCCCAAACTGGGACGAAACAGCTGTCCAGTACTCCCAGGATTTCCAATAGTTCTCTAACCAATGTCAGCTCATGATGAAATCTTCTGAACTTCTTATTATTTTAATCATGCAATCACGGAATAAACACATTTGATCATAGGGAATAAAAAGAAAGTTGCAGCAAAGAAAATTTTCTTTTCGATAAAGTCATCATCTAGACTGTACATTCGTGTATTTATATCAAATGGATGGGAAAGTTTCAGAATGATTTCCGGTTAAGGGTCAAATTAATAAAAATTACAATTAAGAATTAGAATGCCATAATAAACAGGGGGACGGATAAAATAATAATAATAATAATTTACTTTATTCCAAAAGTGTAAACTCAAACAGAGTAGCTTAATAACTAAGAAGATTGACATTGTGCAATTGGGGGTGGGTAGAAATGTAGAAATAACAAAATAGACAGGATGTTTGGATAAAAAACTAATGTGATGAATAATTGTTTATGCAATCAGGGATTAAATATGTAGAAATAGTAAAATAACAAAATAAACAGGAAATGTGGATATGAAAATATGGTAGTGTAGACAGGGATTAAGAAAAACTTAAAATAACACGAATAAACAAGAAGTTTAGATAAGAAAGGCGACGGGATGGTCATTATTAAAAAATTTACCTGTTTATGATGGCCATGGCAGGGACAAGGGTTGGATGTATTTCTTTTGGATACAAAGAGTGGGTTTGAGATTTTGGATAGCTAGCGCCTCAGCTATGCCCAGATTTCTTGATTTCACCCCCTTTGAACACTACCTATCCTGGCTAGTAAAAGGAGACCAAAAACGTGTATACAGTTCAGTGACAGAACATCTAGTCAACTCAGGATATTCAGCGCCTTTCGAAAAATCCTTCAAAGTGATATACAAGATTCAATCAAACCTATCAAAGGGAGTGAAATCAAGACATCTGGACATAGCTGAGGCGCTAGCTATCCAAAATCTCAAACCCACTCTTTGTATCCAAAAGAAATACATCCAACCCCTGTCCCTGCCATGGCCATCATAAACAGGTAAATTTTTTAATAATGACCATCCCGTCGCCTTTCTTATCTAAACTTCTTGTTTATTCGTGTTATTTTAAGTTTTTCTTAATCCCTGTCTACACTACCATATTTTCATATCCACATTTCCTGTTTATTTTGTTATTTTACTATTTCTACATATTTAATCCCTGATTGCATAAACAATTATTCATCACATTAGTTTTTTATCCAAACATCCTGTCTATTTTGTTATTTCTACATTTCTAACCCCCCCCCCAATTGCACAATGTCAATTTTCTTAGTTATTAAGCTACTCTGTTTGAGTTTACACTTTTGGAATAAAGTAAATTATTATTATTATTATTTTATCCGTCCCCCTGTTTATTATGGCATTCTAATTCTTAATTGTAATTTTTATTAATTTGACCCTTAACCGGAAATCATTCTGAAACTTTCCCATCCATTTGATATAAATACACGAATGTACAGTCTAGATGATGACTTCGTTGAAAAGAAAATCATACAATCATATCAAATGAGCAATACATGAACTGGTGCGCATATTTAATCAGTTTCACACTATACGCTGTGCAGTTTTTGAAGGAATTGAAGAACAAAAATACAGAATTGGTTCTCTGTTGATATGCAACAACACTACGACAAATGATGTACTTTGGATTACTGGTCTACGTGTAAATTCTAAATGAAAAGAAAATTTCTGGAAATAAATACGTTGAAAATTCCTGTAATATATGTCCACATATTGTCTGAAATAGAGCTTTACAGTTATTATTATATCTAATAATAATAGCTTAAATCCAAACAGCACTTTTGGTACAAATATGGAATCTTCAGCATGCAATACAATATTGCATGTAATTTGCTCAACACAGGAGAAATAATTAAAATAGGGCATTAACATTAATAATATTTTTCAGTAAGAAATGAATGTAAAACTAAATCAAGTGAACATATTAACGACAATGTAACAATGAGAACCGGTCCGTCGTGGCACAGCGGTAGAGTGCTCGCCGACCACACAGGTGGTGCGGGATTCGATCCCCGGCCGACGCACTACTTTACCTCGGAAAGCCAGTAATAAAACTGGTAAAGAGGGAAGGTTGGGCATGAGGCTAGAAACCCCATCCTGTAAATCATTACTGCTAACGAAACTTCAACCCCCTAGCTTGAAGCCCTATGTTCCACTGAGAACGTAAAGGAATAAAAAAACAATGAGAACCATAAAAATACTGTCTACTCACATTTCCGCAGTAGATTGGTAATTTCCTGTCTTACACTTTTCTCATCACATAAAATGTGTTCTAAACAAATTACTGTAGAGTTTTTGTACTTAGTCGTCCGAGCATACAGTTTTCTATACTTGCTTCTAGTTCCACCCGATGAAACAGATGCAAGCAGAGAGTTGTGTGTGGAGAGGATGTTCAGAGTATGACAGGATAATAGTTGCTAATTTCTTACAGGAATCCAAGTGTCCATCTACAATAGCATTAACAAGTTGGTTTAGCAACACTCCAGTCGCCCTACTGACGGCTTTTAGTGCCCTAAGCAGTAGAATAAAGTCTTTCTTAAGCAACCCAGGAAAGATTAAGGTATGGGGGAGCAGTAAAGACAGAATACAAGAATTAACAAACGGTAACAGTGGAGACAGAATGATACTAGATCGTCTTAACTTCCTTACGTAGAACTTCAAACGAAACATCTTTCTGTAAACTAACATGATGTGGAAAGACCAGGAAAGGTGATCAGAGGAAATAAACAGTCCAAGGTATTAAACATTCAAATTGGTTTCAACTTCAGTGCCATCTATGGTAGTGGAACCATAAGAACTAACCAGTTCACGTAAGTCGCGCTTGCATCTGAAAGTGAAATTAACCACCTGAGATTTGGAGGGATTAAGCTTAAGACCATTTGACGAGGACCGCTGACTGATTTCTGATGAAAAGTTATTCATTTAGAAGAGTCTGACTGAGAAGTAAAAGGCATAGAAACAGTTACATCATCGGTACACTTAACGAAATCGGCTTCGTCAGAATGAGGTTAGTGATGTAAGAAGAAGGAAAACAGAAGAGGAGAAAGAACAGCCCTTTGACTTAGGAACACCAGTTAGAGTAAGTGAAACAGTGGAGGACTTCCCATCGTAGACAATGTACTGCCTCTCTGTCAGAAAAATAGGAATGCAACCACATGGTAATCCAGCGCTGTTGCTTTAGCCTAAATGACAACTTCTTGTTTCGAACTGAATAGTGGTCAAACATCAGGTAGATAATACAAATGCATAATACATATTGGAAGCAAATAAAATTATGGTACGTTTATCAGTGTTAACTTATTTGATCACTAACCATATAGGAAAAATGTGCTGATTGTGATCACACTGTTGGACATTTTTACACAATTTGATTACTTTTCTAAACAGTTAGTTATGATAATCTGATGAATGGCAGTTGGTTGCTGGAAGTTATCAGCATTTGTGATCGTATTTTACATCAAAGCAGCCTAAAAAGATAAATACTATCGATATTTAGAATAATCTGTTCTTTCTCTGGAGGTGATATACACATTGATAAGTATGGCATAAATCTTATCACATTTTATTTACACTGATTATTTAGCAGCTCCCTGAATCATCTTAATTATTTACCTATTGTTTCCACCAGACAGATGGATTATTAAACGACGATATAATATATCAGAATAAAGGAAGATAAGAGGTTATTTAATTCAATTTAGCTTTTCCAGCTGATTGATGGGAACGAAGTGCTCGGTCTCAGGTTGACAAGTAGGTTCTTTGTGCAGATGATTCGATAATGACTGGTCATTGGTGGATGATGACTAGCAGTGTTTGACGTTTGAAACTACAGGCACTGGGTTCGAGCCTACGAGCGGACACCATCACTGACTGACTGAGGAATGCAGATACATCCAGAGACGAATCTCAAATAGGACGAAATGAGCATCCTGCAATCTACTGCTGGTCACCAACAACCAATTGATTTGGAGATAAGAGGTAAGCTTTTAAATAGTGAGAAAGAAAAAAAAGTACTGAATAAAAAGATGTAGTGAATTTTAAAAAAAAAATGCTCACTATTGCTTTCGGTGTACCAAATTCCATATTCGTTTGGTCATTTTGTAACATATCGGTGGACGGTTCATATACAGAAATCCTACCCATATCCAAATCGATTAGTCGCGTGCCTGCACTCAAATACTGTTTAGCCTTCTAAAGTTTACAAGAGAAGGAGAAAATAAATCAGATATGAAGACCACAACAAAAGTTGAAGCAGCAGATACAAAATTGTGATAGTGTGTTAATAACCTTGAATATAGAAGAACATTTTGACCAAAATAAGATTATAGCATTTTGTTTCAACCACAGACGGAATGGATGAAGATATCAAAGCCAATCGGAATCGGAAAGGCAAGATACGCCTCCATCAACATGAAACAAGTTTGGAAATCTTCTGTACACCACCTCAGCGTACACAACAACATTCGGATTCTGTTCAATACAAATGTGAAGTCAGTCAGTCACTTCTTCTATACAGGTCAGTAACTTGCACTGCGTGTCACGAAAAGCATTCCCAACAAGCCATTGCTGACTTCTATCAATAGCTACCCACCTCGCTGGCTGACTTCATACTGAAAATCAGATGGCGGGCCGGTCGGACAGAAACAATTAGCAACACGAAGCTCTGGTTGAGAAAACACCAACCAAGAGCTGATTGCCTAACAAACATGTAGGAAGAAACGGAGATAGGTCGGTTGAGCATACGTTGAGGAGGCCGTGGAATGACATCACGAGCAATGCAGGCCATCGCTCGAGTGGAATCTCAATGGAATGGGAAGCAACGAGTGCGTCGTCGGTGCCAGGGTGACATGGAGGAAATCGTGTGGCAAGCAGGAGATGAGGGATTATGGGTAATCGTGGGGTCAGTCAGGTGAAGAGGACAGCATAAAATAGAATGAAGTGGATGTGTGTTGTTGAAGCCCTATATTTCACTCGGAACCTAAGAGAGTTTTAATATAATAATATATTTTGTTTCGTTGGTTTCTTATCATCCGTATACAGTCTGAAAATATTCATAAGTATGTGTACAGAGGATTTTTAGCGTATTTCCATAGGTAATATGATGTCAGTTAACAGGAAACTGCAAAAATAATAAAATATGGTCATAAGTTACACGATACACAGAAGGTTCAAGCTTGAACAAACAAATATTTTGAATAAATAAAAAAGGGTTCGCGTAATAAAGAGAAGACATGAATAAATTGAAGAAAAGTAACCAATACGTTGTGTAATAATGTAGTGAGTTCAACTAGAATAACGGAAACAGAGATCAAAAAATACAATTACAATGTACCAAAACAGAGGAGGTTAAAACAAAAGATTGTATATTTTTAATTGAATTTTAGATTTTCCAGTTGACGAGTACCAAATAGGACGAAATGAGCATACTGGATTCCACTGCTAGTCACCATCCACCAATTAAATTCCAAAAGACTGCGTGATCAAATAAAAGGAAGACTTAAGAAACCGAGTTACGAGGGCAAACAAAGACTGGTAACTGCTTCTTTCAGAACAAATAAAATATGTCTAAAACGTTCAATAGTAATTCCTTCGGAAAATTTGAGAAATGAATTATATAGCCTATTAATTATCTAAAAGGTATCAAGATGTCCATCTGATGACAGGAATCAAAGAGATACCCAAGAACATTAGTGCTGAAAGCGTTTGTTCCCCTTACATGTAGGTTTTAAGTTTCACGTTCAGAGAATCCAAAGTGTACTCTCCTCTCTGTTCTCCCAATGTAATTACTACACAGAGTTAATAAGCAGCGGTACCTGTAGAACTTCAACAGTACCGAAGAGTATGTTGTTCGGTGAATGAGATCCAACTTCGTTACACGAAAGCATCTGGCTAGTGAAGCACACGATCTTTTGTTAACTATTCCTACAATATTACAACTTTCAAGAACAAACATTATGAAGACACCCTTGTTGTTCACTGAGATTTGTTTTACATTTAAATCTCCATAATTTTAGTATTTTTCATTGAATTTCTGAGTATCACCGTTATCATTTTCAAGATTTTCTCATGACACAACAAAACCTTCCAATTCCTCAATAGAGCGTATTTGTCTGGTTCTGTAAAACAGTATTTTGACCAAAGCCCGTTCCATAGCTGTTTAGACAAAATCTAATGAAATTTAAATGTTGCTTACTTTACATAGACTTTGGGTGAATGGATTTTCGAAAATTCTCATGGAGACATCAAGAAAATGAAACTTTCCATCACTTTCACATGCTATAGGAAAGTCAATACTTTTCATGTGTGTCACTGAACAATTCAGGTTGGTAGGATGCATGATTTTTATTGTTGTATACTTCGAATATATCATCAATATAACGATAATAAGTTATTTCGTTGGCTACATATTTTAGCTTTGTCCTCTCAAGATTAGAAATGAACGTATCCATCGATACAGAATCCACTCGAATGCCTATAGGTAAACTATTTACTTGACGGCAAAAAGTATTGTCAAATTGTGGACATCTATAGTACATATTAATGGGAGTTTGAGTTCCAGCATTGTCAGAGGCAGAAGTTCAGATTTTTTACAAATGATATCGACGGTATCATAAATCAAGATCCTTATGAACAACGACGTTACATCAAATAATACCATAAACTTACTGAAGACGTTTATTTGGTTTGGACTTTCGATGAACGGTAATATATACAACTAGTAGACGAATAGGTTCCAACTTCTGAGTAAGTTAACGAGAAACTTTGTGCTGAGGCAAGATGCAGCTGACCATAAACCGACGAAATAAAATGATATATCCTTCTGAACTAACCACTGTTTCGACTTCATTGACATTTTTAAAGGGGTATGGGTGTGTGGAAATATTAACATTTATTCCAAAACACGTAAAACAATAGAATTTTAATAAGTTATTTAAAAAGACTTACATCTAAATTGCAAATGTGTATTCCGGCAACAAATGGAACTGGACATCTAAACAAAATGGCTGTGGATAGTAACACCGATTAAAATGCACTCAACTTACTCCAAAACACCAAGCACTTTGTCAGGAATCAAGGGGTAGAAAGAATGAGCCCTGCAATTAAAAGAAGGCGTGGAAAAATGCATTTAGGCTTGATCTAGAAAAAAGTGGGCTAAGTTAAACTATCATTGCCAAAATCGAAGTGACCTAGAACAACCAATCAGAATTCAGATGCAAAAGATTCTCATAGTCGTTGAAAAATACACTAAAAATATTGCTAAATTGATATTACACTGTATGATTGTAGTTTATGTGTTGTAAGAATGTCTCCTAGTCAATACAGAGACGATCTATAGAGAAATCAAAACATGCGCGACATACCTATTCATCCAAGTGACTGTAGGTCATGGTACTTTGAGATCCATTAGTATTTCTGATACTATTCTTCAACCTACTCCTAACTCTTAACGTAATCCTGATTCCTAATTGTAACTTTAAGCCAAGATCCTAAACCTCAGTCTTAAACGCCACAACCCTACCCAACAGTATAGATTTACAGAAAAAGTACGTAGTAAATAAATAGAATACTGTATCTATCCTCTCCAAGTCCAACAAAGCAGGTAGGATTGGATGTGGATTGACATTTCATAGCATTCCTTGTGTCTAGTCGGTCCTTGACTTTTGCTATAATACTTTAACTTCGCCCAAAAATGGAAATATATTAGTAGAAAAATTGACTTTAACCAGGAGATTGTATACGGTTGTTTCAGCCAACACTTATGTCACTAGCACAAATAATTCAGCTATTTACTTAAGGTATTCTCAAGCAAATATGAAAAGAATTCGAAAATATTTATTGAAACATTAAGATCAAAAATACACAAGTCTATTTTATGGCTCATGATTAAAACTGTCTGAGTCCACCAAAGGTTTGGTTAAGTGAAGCTATTGAAATTAAACTCGAAAAAGATCTGTACGACAAAACGATACTGAAATGAATTGGAATAAGGAATCAACGAATAAACAGAAGGCAAACAGTTGTATGTTAATAAGATGTTTAACGTTTCAAGCGATTTTAAGTGCAATGCAAGTGAAATGAGTAACCATTGAGAAAGTGTGTTCACAACCATAGGGTTTTCATGAAGAATATAGTGCTTATGACAGAATATCGTAAAAGGTAAGATGTGTACTTTGAAAATAATGTATATTCAATAAATAATAAGATGAAAACCAACACACACACACACACACAAAGAAAAACCCATAACTTTACTACCTTTGACCGCTAGCGTAAATTTAGATACAAAGCCTACTTCAATAGGTATAAACGTATTAACTTATAGTGATCTCTTAATTCAAACTGTGGTGAGAGCTGGTTGCTAGCGAAAGTTGGTAGACAGTAATTGACGTCAATGTTTATGTCCCCAATATTGGTGGTGAGAAAATGAGAACAAAGGCTTTGCGTAGGCGGATACAGTTAGCATATGGATGATCTGACACAGCCACAAAGAGATGCAAGGTTAACTTTCTGTGAAAAACCACCAATCAAAAGACTATTTTCTACTAACAATAATCTACAATAATGTACATTAAAATCTATAAATATGTGTTGATTTTCCTTAATAAACGATCTGTTGCCTGGCCCTTGTCTTCTGTTGTTACAAAACAATCACTTATTCCACGCTGGATATTCGTTTACGGTGTGTTGCTAAGCCACTCATATTGACAGAATTATATTTGAAGTAGAAACTATACTTATATATATATATATATATATATATATATATTAGCTTGCCTAGATTACTAGCTCACTAGTATTCTAGCCGGTCCCAAGCCCGGATAAAGAGGGAGGGTTGGGGCGTGGTGCTAGCAACTCCACCCCCAAAACTTAACCAAATTGCTACAAAAACTTCAACGCACAAACATATTAAAAATTCTAAAAGTACAAACAACGACCTTATTTTTCGCTGGAATCGGGGAAGTGAAATGACACAGGCTGGTGAAAGCCTTCGGGAAGCCAGTCAGCCGATGTGCCTTCTTTCGATGAAAGCAAAAATAAGGATGGGGAAGTGAAATATTCGTACAATGTACGAAACTGGAAAGGCTGATCAGGTAGCCGCGGAAATGAGGAGATATAAAATAGAAGTGTTGGGAATCTGCGAGAGCGGATGGAACGGATGTGGAAGGAGCCAACTACCAACTGGAGAGACTATAATCTACTCCGGTCAACCAGAGGACGATTACGAGCACACCGAGGGAGTAGCCATCATGATGTCACCAACAGCAGCTAAAGCTCTCATGTAGTGGGAACCAATCTCCTGCAGGATAATGACAGCCAATTTCAACTCAAAAGGGAGGAAGGTTACAATCATTCAATGCTACGCGCCTACAAACGTCTCAGAACAAGAGAAGAAGGAGGATTTCTACAGTCAACTACAAACAATAATGGACAACGTCCCAAATGGCGATATCAAAATCCTGATGGGTGATATGAATGCGAAGCTGGGAGGAGACAATACAGGAAAAGAACTCACCATGGGTCGCGAGGCCCTCGGTGAAATGAACGAAAATGGTGAACTCTTCTCAGACTTCTGCGCCTTCAATGATTTGGTGATTGGTGGCAGTGTGTTCAAACACAGGGATATATACAAGGCGACATGGATTTCACCAGATGGACACACCAAAAACCAGATAGACTTCATTTCAATCTCAAGGAAGTGGAGACGGAGCCTACTAGACACAAGATCGAGGAGAGGAGCAGATGTGGGTTCATACCACTATCTAGTACAAGCGACTTTCAGGGTGTAACTAAAAGCCTCGAGGATAGCTGGGGATAGGCCACAATGCAAGTTCAACACTCAAAAACTGAAGGACACAACCACAAAGGACACTTTCACTGCAACTGTCAGAGCAAAGCAGGAAACACTACGTGACACCACTGAGGAATCATCCGTGGAAGACCATTGGAACTCTCTGAAGGTGATTTTTAATGAAACGTGTTCAACGGTTTTAGGAAGAAAGAAGAAACAAGACAAGGAATGGCTATCAACGGACACTTAGAAGCTAATAGAGGAGAGGAGAATGGTGAAAGAGAAAATGATTCAATGCAAAGATGGACAAGAGAAAGAGACGCTGAGCTCAATTTACACAGCACTGGACAAAGAAGTGAAGAAGAGTGCCAGGAAGGACAAAAGACAATTCTACGACAACTTGGCCACTGAAGCTGAGAAGGCAGCAGGCAAAAGGGACCTGAGGACACTATATCAGATAACCAAGTCTCTATCCGGGAAGAGATCAACACAAGTGAAACCTATAAAAGACAGCCAAGGGAACCCAATTACCAAGGAAGAAAGACAGATTAAACAATGGGCGGACCACTTCAAAGGACTCTTGAATCGACCACCAACAACAACCCGTCCAGAAATACCAACAACAGTGCGTACACAACTGCAAGCTGACACCAATCCTCCAACGAAAGCTGAAGTCTTGAATGCAATCAAGCTTCTGAAAGCTGGAAAAGCAGCTGGACCAGATGGAATACCGCCTGAAGCACTGAAAGCGGACCCAGAGACGACAGCAGATATGCTGACTCCATTATTGCAAAAGGTCTGGAATGAAAGGAAAGGTTACCTCGTGAAACTACCAAAGAAGGGCGACTTAGGACTCTGCAAGAACTGGCGAGGAATCATGCTTCTGTCGACGCCAAGTAAAATTCTGAGTCGCATCATCCTGGAGAGAATAAAGGACGCACTGGATACAGAATTCCTATCAGAACAAGCTGGATTCAGGAAAGGCAAATCATGTTCTGACCAAATTGCAACTCTACGCATCATCATCGAACGAAGCATGGAATGACAATCAAATCTCTACCTCAACTTTATAGACTTTGAGAAGGCCTTCGACAGCGTTGACCGCGAAGTAATTTGGAAACTACTCGAGTACTACGGCGTACCGCAAATATTCATCAACCTTATTCAACAGCTGTACGACAACGGCACATGTCAAGTGATCCACAACGGAAAACTCAGCGAAGCGTTTGGAGTAAACACAGGAGTCAGACAAGGGTGCTTATTATCACCAATGATATTCCTAATTGTGGTGGACTGGATTATGCGTCAGACAGTGGGAAACGAGAAGACAGGGATATCCTGGACCGACGTGAAGAACCTAGAAGACCTGGATTTCGCGCGTGGATGATTTATGTTTGATGTCACACAAAATCGAAGACTTACAAGCGAAAACCGACAAACTGGTCGAAGAAGCAGCAAAGACAGGACTCCAGGTGAACATAGACAAGACAGAAGTTATGAAAATAACCAACCAACCAACAACAACAGCAGCAGCAGCAACATCCAGCACCAATCACCATCAACGGGAGGGATTTGAAAGAGGTTACTTCATTCACTTATCTAGGGAGCATTGTCTCAACTACAGGAGGAACGGACGAGGATGTCAAATCGAGAATCGGGAAGGCGAGAAACACTTTCATCAACCTGAAACTAATCTGGAAATCTTCGTCACTCAGCATCAACAACAAAATTCGGATTTTTAATACAAACGTCAAGTCAGTTTTGCTATACGGATCAGAAACTTGGCGGGTCACAAGGAATATTTCCAACAGCCTGTTGCAGACCTTTATCAACAACTGTCTTCACTCTATACTGAAGATCAGATGGCCGGAAAGAATCACCAACAAGAAACTATGGGAACGAGCAAAACAAGAACCAATCGCTAAACAAATATGCAGGAGAAAGTGGAGATGGATTGGACACTCACTCGCTGAGGAGGCCGCTGGGTGACATCGCACGTCAGGCCCTCGAGTGGTACCCGAAAGGGAAGCGGCGAGTGGGACGTCCAAGGGTGACATGGAGGAGATCGTGTGAAGAGGAGTTGAGACAATATGGAATAACATGGATGCAAGTGAAAAGTACAGCAGAAGACAGAATCAAGTGGAGGCATGCAGTTGAAGCCCTATGTTCCACTAGGAACCCAAGGGAACAATAATAATATTATATATATATATAAACCTAGTAAACATTGTATTCTAGAGTTCAATCCCTGATGAAATTATAGTGGTAAACGATTAAATAATTCTAAAACAAGACGATACAGCT